GGTCACCCTCAGCAGCAAGATATCATCCAGGATGAACTCCTGTGGAAAATGTTGGGACAGTGTTCAGTGTAGGTGCCCCCTGCAGCTGTTGGCTCTCCCCAAGGCACAGAAACCCAGAGGACAGTACAGCTGTGAAACAATCAGTCCCCCTTACTCACCATTTTGAGGCTCCCGTGGGTTATGTGTGCTCTGTTTGGGACGGGAAAATTATGCTATTGTGTAGACCCTGTGTGTGCCGTCCTTAAGTGCGGGGGAAATCATTACTCTGTCTGCTATAAACAATGCTGCCTCTGTTAAATGTTGCATTTTGCCTATACAGCTGCAACAACCTTGAGACCTCAGCCGTCCCTCTTATGGCCTGCTCAGAGACTGCAAAGACTCAGGAAGAGACCACGAAAAAGCAAAGAAGACATGCTGCAGGAAGTGATGCGGCAATCTATTAAAGAGAATGAAAAAGCACAGAACTTGAGGAAGAGAGAAAGCAGGATCCACCAGGAAAACGCAGCACCCTGGAGGCAAAGCACAGAGAACTGGCAGCAAAGCACGGATTGGCTCATAAGCATCGTGGAGCACCAAGCAGTCGCTATCCAGGAGCTCGTAGCCATGCAGGAGCAGTACCGCAAAAGCAAACGCCCCGCCCCCCACAGTCCTTCTCCCAGAATTCTTTCCCTTTTGCCCCACTGTCACCTCCAATCCACTTTCCCCAACTTTGGGGTTCTTCACGCCACCAGCTGCCTCCAAAACCAGTATCTTCACCACCCAGCCCTGAAAACCATGACCATTACCCTCTGCACTCAACCCCCATCACCATGCAGTATAGCTATCTTGAAGTGCAGCACTCACTGCACAGCACACCAGACAGGACATACGCGAATCTGTGATTGTACCGTTCCCCACTCTACCCCCTTGCTCTTTCTGATTCCCAAGCAGTTGTGTTTCTTTTCAATAAATAAATTTTCTTTTCAATAAATGGATTTTTTGGCTTTGAAAACATTCTTTATTAATGCATAAAGTAAAAGATTCCTTAGCCCAGGAAATAAACAGGCACTGCAAGTCTGCTTAGCAAACACTGATCCCTAAAGATTGGAACTACTGCACTTCACTCCCGTGCAGGGCAGCAGATATCACTGCTGGTTTTCAGCCTCAAATTGCTCCCTCAAGGCATCCCTAATCCTTGCAGCCCCATGCTGGGCCCGTGTAATATCCCTGCTCTCTGGCTGTGCAAATTCAGCCTCCAGGTGTTCAACCTTGGAGGTCCATGCCTGAGTGAAGCTTTCACCCTTTCCTTCACAAATATTATGGAGGGTACAGCACGCGGATATAACCGCGGGGATGCTGTGTTCAGCCAAGTCTAGCTTCCCATACAGAGATCACCAGCAGCCCTTTAAATGGCCAAAGGCACACTCCATAGTCATTCCACACTGGCGCAGCCTGTAATTGAACCGTTCCTTGCTGCTGTCAAGGCTCCCTGTGTAGGATTTCATGAGCCACGGCATTAATGGGTAAGTGGGATCCCCAAGGATCACAATGGGCATTTCAACTTCCCCTACCGTGATCTTACGCTCTGGGAAAAAAGTCCCGGCCTGCAGCTTCCTGAACAGCCAAGTGTTCCGAAAGATGCCTGCATCATGCACCTTTCCTGGCCAGCCTGTGTTAATGTCAATTAAATGCCCACGGTGATCCACAAGCGCCTGGAGAACCATAGAGAAATACCCCTTCCGATTAAGGTACTCGGATGGGGGTGGTGCCAGAATAAGAATGTGCGTCCCATCCATCGCCCCTCCACAGTTAGGGAAACCCATTTGTGCAAAGCCATCCACGATGTCCTGCACGTTACCCAGAGGAGGATGCGATTAATGGCCCTGCAAACTTGCATCAACACGATTCCAACGGTCGACCTTCCCACTCCAAACTGGTTCGCGACGGACCGATAGCTGTCTGGAGTTGCCAGCTTCCAGATTGCAATAGCCACCCACTTCTCCACTGGCAGGGCAGCTCTCAATCTCATGTGCTTGCACCGCAGGGTGGGAGCGAGCTCCTCACACAGTCCCATGAAAGTGACTTTTCTCATCCGAAAGTTCTGCAGCCACTGCTCCTCATCCCAGATAATTTTTTTTTTTAGTTTTGTTTCAGCAAGAAAACTGAAAAAAATCATGTGGGGTCTACGTGAATTATTATGATGATGGCGATTATTATTTTATTGGTTTGTCTAGCTAGTAAGCGAAACAACAAATGATTTGCACAGCTCTATTTATATAAACAGTCCACATTGGAACATGCCTAATTTCGGCTCTTAGGATCTAGAAAAGTTTGATTTGTTTGATATGTGGTGATGAAAAGTTTCCTTGACTGGGAATTGAACCCAGGCTGTGGCAATGAGAGTGCAAAATTTTGACCAAAAGACCACCAGGGAGATGACAGCTGATGACTGATGCTAGGCTTTTTCAGGCAACTTTCTCCAAAAAATTCATCTTGGGTTGACCAGAAATATTATTATTGTTATAATTTTGGTATGGCTAGCAAGCCAAATATTAAATTATTTACACAGGTCTATTTGTATAAAAGGGTATTAAGCCTGGGGTTTAAGGTGCACAGTGGGCATATGCCCACATTTTGCTATTTGAGAGAGCTTTGATTTTCACACAGTCTCCAAACACCTTCCTGGCATCCTGAAATCTAAGCGGGAGTCTGAAGGAGTCACATACCTGCTCAAGGTACTTCTGATGTTCTAGAAGGGAGACAGAGAGGAAAAAAGCTCAGTCCACAGTGATGCTAATGAGCATGAATAGCCAATGATCTTTGTATGTAACTACTTAGTCAATTGTGAACCTTCCTATCATTATCCCTTTGAGATGATGAAGTACACTTGACTTTATATCCCAGTGTGCCATGGACTTCTACAGGTTGCATTAGCCAGTTCAGCCATTTGGCACTTGCAAATGGGTATCTCTGTATTGTGCCTGATTCTTATACAGCTATAAAAGGCTGGTAGATGCAGATACTTTCCTCTCTTCCTAACCAGCACTAATACCAAGCCAGGCTAGGGCTGGGAAGAGAGAGAGAGAGCAGCAGATTTCCCCTACTGTTTCCTGCTCTTTTTTTCTTGACCAGTTTCTCCTCTGCACCAACTTGCTTTCTTATTTTATCAGCCTGACTAGCTCAGTGGGTAGAGCATCAGACTTTTAATCTGAGGGTCCAGGGTTCAAGTCCCTGGTCAGGTGATAAACTATTTACTAAGATCTTAGATATCTCTTTAGAGTCCTCTTTAATGTTACTTTTTCTCTTCAGGATTTTGCCTTTGCTAAGAAGGGCCTTTTTGTATGTGAGATTGAAGGGGCAAATTCCTGACATCCCCTCTGTCCTCTCAGGCTAGAGAAATAAAGGACTCTGCGCATATAGCATGTTCCTCCCCTGCACACAAACACAGAAAATATCCCTAAGGAATTAGAATCACCTGCTGCCTTCCCCTGTCCTGCTGGATCCACAAATGACGATGCTCTTCAGCCCGAACCCATGTCCCCTTTATTCCCAGTGCCCCTTAGTCCCAACCCACAGGCCCTCCTATGCACAGTGCTCCTCACTCCCAACCAGAGCCTACTCCTCTTCACCCTTCTCCTCTGTCCCAACCCACAGCCCCCTCCTATTCCCAGTGCCCCTCAATCCCAACCCCCAACCCCCTTCTCCTCACGCTGCTCCTCAATCCCAACCCACAACCCCCTCCTATTCTCAGTGCCCCTCAATCCCAACCCAGAGCCCACTCCTTTTTACAGTGCTCCTCAATCCCAACCCATGGCTCCCTCCTTCCCTCCAGCAGTGGGTGCTTCAGACCCCCTCAGGAAGTTTTTCTTGCAAGGTTTCATGTGTGAGTGTGCGTATGGACTTCACAGGATGTTGCAAATTTCTATCTTAAATATGTAAGCAGGGTTTGAATGAGCTCTCCCCTGACATCGAGGGATGAGCTGTGGAAGAGCACTTCTGGAGCTGATCTCCTTTGCATGGGCACACCCACCCTGTCTAGGTGCTCAGCATGATGGGATTACTTGCTGAAATGATCACTTTTGGCTGGTGTTGGATTCCCCATTTCCTTGTTATTGGGGCAGGAGAAATAAAGGGTTGTTATCCTTGTTGTGTGAATGGAGGGCAGCAGAACTGTGCTTGGCAGACCCTGATTGAGGGACTCACCCTCAATTCAATAGCACTTGCTAGGCAGGAGACATGGGTTCCAAAGCCAAATGGGCTGGGGTTTGGGTTTTAATACTAAAAATTAATCTTAGATCAATTTTTGGATCCAGTAGGACAAGCTCCACAAGCCTGAGTCAACAGACCCAGGGTTTGAGAATAGTGACTTGGGTGTGTTTATGGTAGCATAGACATAATGTTAGCCTATGTCCACACTGAAATGAAACACTCAGGCTGGCCTATGCCAGCTCAGGCTCATGGTGCTTGGGCTGTGGGGTGGTAAATTTGCAATGTAGACATCTTGGCTCAGGCTCAATACTGGGCTCTGGGACCCCACAAGGTTGGGAGGGAGTTTAGCAAGTGAAAAAGGTAAAATGGCAGTGGAGTATTATCCTGGACTCAATAGCATTTCTCCATTGATCTGTGTGCTTTGGGGCAGGGACAATAACATGTCCTGATGCATTTGTTATTTCAAAGGGGGGTTTAGGGTTTTCATTCTCACACACGGTGGATGAAGCAGGACTCAACCCTTGGTGTAAACAAAATGAGCTGCCCACAGATTCTGGCAGCCACAATGAGCCATTTGGTGTGAGAGCCCAGACCTGCCCCTGTCCCAGAGGGAGGGGGTCATCCACGAGGGGCTTGGAACACTGACCTATCGGATCTTAACTCCCAAACTTTCAGTAACTCTATTATCAGTGCCCATGAGTGTAATTTAAACCATAAAAATAGCCATGCTGGGCTAGACCAAAGGTCCATCTAGCTCTGTATTTTGTCCTCTGACAGTAGCCAATAACACATGCCCCAAAAGCCCGTCAACAAGGGACTGCTGGGAGTTGAACCCAGGATCTCCTGTTTACAAAACAGATGCTTTATCCAACTAAACCACAGTGCCTGCTTGTGGTTAAGGTATGGTGTTTGCCCACACCCTAAGAAGCTTTGCTTGTGCTTGGATTCTGCAAAGCAGAGAAGCAGGTGAAGTTTTCCTTGGAAGCTGTGTGTGTGAATCTTTGGCCAGGTCTGCACTACAAAGTTATTTCAGCATAATTATATTGCTCAGGCATGTGAAAAAACACATGAAGCTCCCTCGGTCGCCAGCTTCTGGCTGGTATACACACTACAATCCCACATCTGGCGACAAAACTGCCCTGTTTTGGTGACAAAATAAAACCACCTCGATGAGAGGGCTAGAGATTTTTGCAGCAAACTTAAAGCAACAAAGTATCAGTGTAAACACTGCTGGTCATTATATCACTATAACTGGCCTCTGCCAGTATCCCACAATGCCCGCTGTGAACTGGCGGCCCTGCATTCCTGCTACAGAGGCTGGGCCCCTCCCCGGTCATCGCTGCGAAAAACTCTGACAGCTGAGCCTCCTGCTATGCTCCAGCAGCCAGGAGCAAATCACTACCGTGGAATGCTGCTCTCTCCCCCACTGCGAACACAGAGCAGGGCGGTGGGAGCTTCCTCATAGTGTGGGGGGCATCAGAGTCCGAACTGTGGTGCCCCCATGATGCCCCTTCCCCAAGGCCCCTCACTCACTCCGCCCCTTATCCCTGAAGCCCCAACCCCACACTGCCCCTTCTCCCTGAGACCCCACCCCATCCCTCCCCCCAAGGCCACACCCACAGAACGCCTCTTCCCCCCAAGACTCTGCCTTGTCCACCCCTCCGTTGTTCGTCTTTAGGGCAGGTAAAAAGTGGTGAGGCCATGGCCCTCTAAACCCCCTTGTTCCGGCACCCCTGACACAGAGCTAGGAAGGCAGCAGTGTCTGTGTGTGGGTGTATGTGTGAGAGAGAGACGGCTGTGCTGTGCTGAGCCAGTGAGGGAAGTGGGGGCTGACGTCGGGGCTATTCCCCTCCCCCAACTCAGGACTGGTTGCTTCCCGCAGCTGTCTGAACGTAGAGACAGGGTGCCCACACACTCACTCTTCCCCAACACACACACTGTCTTTGCCCCCCCACACACACGCTCTCTGTCCCACACTCTCTGCCCGCCACGCACACTGCAGTTAAAAAGCAGCTGGCAATCTAGTAGGATGCCCATGGAACAATGGGATAGAGAAACCTGCATCATGTGATGCTGTACCGGCCCATGAGACATTGCAAACCCTTCCCAGAGCACCCTGCAGCCAGTTGCACAGTGGGATAGCTACCGACAGTGCACTGCTCTCTGTGGTGATCCAAGAGCGTGGATGCATTCTGGTGACACAAGCAGCCTTCTGTAGACATGCAACAATGGTTTAATTAAAATGCTTTAACAAAAGCAGCATAACTCTGTAGTGTAGACAAGATCCAGCTCCTATTAGCACCAAAGATGCTCAGGCACTGAAACTAAAGAACAACAGCTGTCTCCATAGCAGGCAGGATTCAAACCTGCATAGGGAGACCCCAATGGATATAGTTCTTCACCTTAACCACTCAGCCACAACTACTTGTTTTGTACAACTTTTTCACTACACTCTAGTTCTGTTCTCACTGAGTGGTCATTTCCAATTGTTTCCTCAGACCAGCTTCCACAGCACACTCACTGCTGTGCCATTGTGTAAGTGTGTCCATGGCTGAACAGCAAGAATTCCTGCTCATTTCCTTTCTGGCTGGAGCGTGAGAAAAGTGTGTTTGTGGTTAATGACGTTGCTGTAGATAGTTGTCCATTCCCTGCCTTGATAAGTCAGACAGTCCCTTTCCCCAGCACATCAGTGATTGCAATAGCAGGAGGCAGGTTTTCTCTGAGGCACTGAGCTTTGCCAGGGGGTTGTTGGCTCCTTTCTTTCCTCACCTTGGAGTAAACTCAGCTTTTTATTCCATCCTTGATGTTTCATGGAATAACAACAGCAGCACAAAGTAAGAGGTGGGTAGGCTGGGTCTCTGGGGAGGGAGCAGAGAGATGTGGATGGTGGGCAGACTCATGCTTTGGGGTAGAGGGTGGAGAGGCCCAAGCAGCAAGTGAGGAGTCCGCAGGGGACGAGAAGAGTGAGTGAAAGGTGATCCAGCAGGCCTCAGCCAAAGAGGCAAAGTGGGGGAGGGAAGTGGCCAAACGGGAGCAAGGATGGAGCACAGGTGGGGCCTCAGAGGGAGGAGAAAGAGCGGGGTGGAGTGGGGGGCAGTGCCACAGTCCAGGTACCGATGCCCCCCCACACTTTTAGGGAGCTTCCAGTGCTCATGCCCAGCCTCCCCAAATGCAAGAGTCATGGGCCACCTATTCTCTGGATCTTCACTAACTAAGCCCCTCTCCAAGCTATGTTGATGGGAGAAGCCCTCCTGTTGACACAGTGCTATCTACACCAGGGTTAGTTTAATATAACTGCATTGCTTGGGGGGGTAAATTTTGTACACCCCTAAGTTTTGTAGTTACACCGACCTCATTTTGTAGCATAGACCTGTGCAAAGAAACACACACACACCTTGGAAGTAAAACTTCACCTGCTCCTCTGCTTTACAGAATCCAAACACAAGCAATGCTTGTCAGGGCCCTGTCGGGGTTGGCAGGGAGTCAGGTGTGGGCAGACACAATGTTTTAGGCTGAGGGAGGCACCATAGCTTAGCTGGCTAAAGCGCCCTGTCTTGTAGATAAACGATCCTGGGTTCAGCTCCCAGTGGTGCCTTGTTGAGTGGCTTTTGGGGCACTTGGTATTGGCTACTGTCAGAAAACAAGATTCAGAGCTAGCTGGATCTTTAGTCTAGCCCAGTGTGGTTTTTCTTATGGTTTAAATTACACTCACTGGCACTGATAATAGAGTTACTGAAAGTTTGGGTGTTAAGAGCTGATAGGTCAGTGGTTCAGTCCCCTCACAGATGACCCCCTCCCTCTGGGACAGGGGCAGGTCTGAGCTCTCACACCAAATGGTTCATTGTGGCTGCCAGAATCTGTGGGCAGCTCATTTAGTTTACACCTAGGGTTGAGATCTGCTTAATGCACTGTGTCTGAGAATGAACATCCTAAATCAATCTTTGAAATAACAAATGCAGCAGGATGTGTTTTGTCACTGCCCCAAAGTAGACAGACCAGTGGAGAAATGCCAGTGAAATCTTCACTGTGGTTTTACCATTTCCACTTGCTAAACTCCCTCCCAACCTTCTGGGTTCCTAGAGCAGGGTACTGAGCCTGAGCTGAGACAGATACACTGCAACTTTAAAGCCCAAGCCGCTGTCCTGGATTAATCTAACACAGGCCAGCCATAGGCGTTTCATTCCACTGTAGATGTATCCTAACATTATGTCTACACAGCAATTAAAACACCCAGGGCACCTGTCTCACAGCCCTGGTCGGCTGACTCATGCTTATGGGGCTTGCGCTGCAGGATTATTAAATTACAGTGCAGACATATGGGCTTGAGCCCAACCTCTGAGACCCCACGAAGGGTGAGGGTTTCTGAACCCAGGCTTCAGCATGAACACAAATAGCTGCACCACAGTTGTTAGCCCCATAGCTTTAGCTCCACGAGTCCAAGTCAGATGACCCAGGCCAGCCATGCTGCAATCTTTATCCCAGGACAGATGGACTCTAAGGGTATGGCTCCATTGAAATATAAGCCCAGATGTGGCATGCTGTGCTCAAAGTAGCACCCTGGAAGCCCCATATTCACCACTCTCATATAATGATGATATGGTTTGTACAAAGTCTGCCTTGTGAGGATGGACACTGCTTGACTCACATCCAAGCAAAGAAGCTTTCTATCAAGTTGGAAGAAACTGTGGAAGAGGGTAGCCGTGTTAGTCTGTATCTACAAAAACAACAAGGAGTCTAGTGGCACCTTAAAGACTAACAGATTTATTTGGGCATAAGCTTTTGTGGGTAAAATGCATCCGAAGAAGTGAGGTTTTTACCCACGAAAGCTTATGTCCAAATAAATCTGTTAGTCTTTAAGGTGCCACTAGACTCCTTGTTGTTTTTGTGGAAGAGGGGTAGAGACCTCATGACTTGGCCTCTCTTCCTGACAGCTCAATACCTAGAAACACATCTAGAGGACAAAGACTGAACTGAAATAATTCAGAAATCTGGAGAGAATAATAATAATACATTCAAATCAAAGTCCCCAAACAGACTAGTATTCGTTTTTCAGCAGAAAATTTTCAATGTGAGGGATTTTGTTTTCCCAGTTAGACCTTGCCACGCGAAGCAGAGAGAAAATGTTTGATTTGCTTCCTTCAGAACAGCTTGGCCTAGATACTCTAGCTGTGGTTCACTGTTCTGGCCTTGCTGAAGACTGGAGCATTTTAATAATTTGGGAAGGTCTCAGGGTGTTTGGGGGAGATTATGAGGACATTACCTTTTGAGATAAAAACTAAGAAACACAGAACTCTTTTAGAAATCTGGGGTTTAGACATTTTATTTAAAGCAGAGGAGGTCTGAGTTCCTAAGAAGGTTTTTGTTTGCAGGAAGCAACCTGGTTTGGTTTGTCATTGTACTAAAGGGGAAAGAGTTGTTTGTCAAGGAGGGGGAAAGACTAAATGTGGCTGATGAGGATTCAAACACATGCATGCAGAGCACAATGGATTAGCAGGCCATCACTTTACCCACTTGGCACCTCATCTGAGCTGTCAGGAAACGGACAGGAGGAGAAATCTAAGGCCAGCAGAGATAGGGTCAATCTGGAGTTTTTAAATACTAAGCGTAAGCAGGGGCTGAATGAGCTCCCCCCTCACATCTAGTGATGAGCTGTTGGAAAGACTTCAGGAACAGACCGTGTTCGCATAGACACACCTAATCCGCCTAGGTATGCAGCATGATGGGACCAGTGTAGCTTTGCCAAAATGACCAGTTTTGAATGGTGTTGGGTTACAAATCAATTTAGCATTGAGTGGAATGAAATGTTATTATCCTTCCTGTATGAGTGAAAGACAGCAGAACATACCTAGTCCATCCTGATGGAGGGGTAGGTGGGTGAGGAATACCTTTTATTGGACTGCATAGAAACGATTGAGGACGTCACCCTAAACCAGTGGTCCCCAAACTTTTCACATTGTGCCCTCTTATCTGTGTCTGCGGCCCCTTGAAAGCCACAGTCAAGAACCGGGGCTTGGAGTGGAGCTGTTACTTCCTGGTGAGAGGGGTGTGGATGGGGTAAGGGAGATAAGGCTGGTCCAGGCTGAGGGTGGGGTTGGGGAAGAGCTGGGGAAGAGTGGGGCTGAGGGTTGCTTCCTCCCTGCCCTGCATGGGGGCTGGCTTGGGCCCTGAGGTGCCCCCATGAACCTTCCTCTGTTCCCCCTAGGAGGCATGCCCCACATTTTGGGGACCACTGCCCTAAACTGACCCCTACTCGCTAAGCAGGGGCTAGTGATGCCAAAGCCCAGGGAAAAGAAGAACAAGGGCAGCAGCCCTGGCACCGGAATCATGGCCCTGAATCCCCTTCTGCCTGCGGCCCTGCCCTCTTTCAACCTTTCCATGCCTTCCACCCATGGCCTCATCCACTAGTCACCTCTGTTTCACCCCTGGCCCTGAGACCAGAGGAGCTCTGTGCCCCTGCTCCAGCCCCTGGGCCATAGCAGGGAGTGAGAGCACTTCCAGCCCTGAGGCCAACATAGGGGAGACTTTTCCAGGGGGCCTAAATTGGCCAGGGCCCCTAGTCATGGGCCTCACTGCCCATGCGGCAACTTGCCACTGCCCTCTTGATGACACAAGGTTTGGGGAGGCTTAGCCTCCCCAAGCCTCCATTACGTGCCATCCATGCTATCATTGCTCAGTGTGTGGCCAGTATCTCTGTGTTCTCTGCTGTTCATGGTGGAGATCTGAGCCGGTCTTAGGGGTGGGCCACCCTGGCAGCCGCCCAGGGCACCCAGTGCTCAAAGGAGCACCATGTGGCAGTGCAAAAGTGCATGCTGCCAGTGTAGTGTCAGAAACTACTGCCTGGGGTGCAGGGCCGGCTTTAGGCCGATTCCACCGATTCCCCTGAATTGGGCCCCGCCCCTAAGAGGGCCCCGCGCAGATCGGGCAGTGTCCCTGCCTGAAGCAAAGCTCCCTGACTCTCCCGGAAGCAGCAGCTGTTGCTGCTAGGCAACGAGAGACGCTGGCCGGTGGGGGGGGGGGGGGGGCTGAGGCAGAGGCAGCAGCGGCTGTTGCAGGTCAGGAGGGGGGAGGGGGGAAGAAGGCACATGTGCTTTGCAGCCTTCCCCTCCCCTCCCCCCGGCACTCACCTGGAGGAGACACCGAGGGGGCTTCGGGTCCGGTGGGAGACAGGAATCTCGGCAGTGGACCTCACTCACCTTAGCAGCTGCTGGGGCTTCGGTGGTGAGTGTTTGACCCTGTGATTCCTCCTAGGTGTGTAATATTGGGTTGGTTTTGTGGTTTCCGGTGGTGTTGCTGTTTTAGGGTGAGTTGTGCCTGCCTGTGTCTGTTTCAAAAGTAAACTCGGGATCATGTAACCCAGGAAGAAAGCCCCGAGCCAGTACTTAGTGCTGTGAATTCCAGGTGAAAGAGAGAGAGACAGGGAGGTTTGGAGGAGGAAATCAAATACATCAAGGGGGGAGAATGCGAAAGGTCTGCAACACGGCAGGCTGAGACTTTTATCTCTCCCTTCTCCCCCGAGAGAGGGGAAACTGAGGCACGGAGTGATCTGATTCCCCTCCCCAAATTAGTTTGCAAAGGAGAGGGACGGGGGGCTCCTATCCAAACTGGTTCCCTTTCCATTAACTCTGCTTCCCCTGCTGCAAGACCACTGTAGGGGCTGAATATTTCCATTAAACTCTGGCTCCTTCATTTGCCCTGCAACAATAAAATAGACCGGCTTTGGGGGGGGAGGAATATCCCCCCCCCCCAAAGCTGTGTGGACATTAAGGTTTTTTTTTGGAGGGGGCACAATAATATTCCGGATCGATCAAACACCCAGCTCAGCTTTCTAGCCATCCAGCAGCTCTAGGGCAGGGAAGGAAGGTGCTCTTGGTGCAGAGTGGTCGCAAAACAGGGGTGAATTTAGCGGGGGTGGGGTCCGGTTGAAATCCCACCCGATGCAGCCACACAGAATCGCTGGTGGTGCTGGGAGAGGCCAGGAGTGAAAGCAGGTGGCCCGGGAGTGGGGGGACATTTGCCCTCAGTCCTGGGCTCTGGGATGGACTAGACTGGGTGGGTGGTGGGTACAGTCTAGTCTTCCAGCCTGTTGCTCTCTCTGGGGTTTGTGGTTTTCATCTGGCTCCACCGAAAAGATCAAACAAGCCCAGTAGAAAAGGGGGTGAGAGAGGCAGGAATGGGTTTGTAAGAGGTTAAAGTGACCCATCAACGAAAGAGTGAAACCAGAGTTTGACTGGGTTTCCCCCCAGCCACCACTCCTGCAAACACTGGGCAAGGGACAGCCCCATCCCCCACCGAGGCTATGGTGAGGGGCAGCAGGGGAGGAAGGAAGCCACATGTGATGGCAGTCCCCTCCCCCCCAGCACCCACCACCCCCTCTCCGGCCCCCAAACTCTGTCCCAGAGCCTGCACCCACCCCTGCGCTCTCCCTCCCAGAGCCTGCACCCCTCCACCCATCCTGCACCCCACACCATGCCCCAGCCCGGAGCCTGCACCCAAACTCTGTCCCACTCAGCCCTGGGCAAAGCTCTCCTTGGCTGACTCCCAGCCCCTCTCCAAGGGTTGCAGCTGTCTGGAAGTGCCTGCCTTCCACGTC